GTGCTCCTCCATCCCCCATCAACACGTGCTGACCTTATTGCCTTCTGCTTCATTGCTTTTCATAATCAAATTGATAGCTTTGTTTGTTTCAAAATGCTTCACAGCAAACAGCTACAGTAGGATCTAATTATCTCATTCTCGCTCTGTGTAAGGACATTTTTAGATAAACAGCAGGATTTCAACACTGTTTCAAAGGTCTTCTCGTGCAAGCCATCTGTATCTAACAGACTGTTCCTCATTTATCTTGACTTTTCCAGACAACAGTTTTGATAGCTCTGGATAATAAAAACTAGAAGTGCCTTGCCAGAAAGACCGTGCTTATTCCTAGGCAGATGTCACGACGATGACAGGTGAGCATTGCAGTTCCAGTTGTCACAAGGATACCAGCATAGCAGGTGGCAGCTGTAACCCTATAGCGAAGTATTACTCTTTGTCTTCTCAGCTAAATCTGGGAGCTGTCACTTAGCCACTCCCCGCACCAGCAGCCCGGCTCATAGCTCACCAGGGATCCTTGCACAGGGATGAACATATTGCTGCAGACTGAGGCTCATGTTCTCCCTCATTATTTGCTCGTTACTTGTTTTGGCATTGAAAGGTGCCCTGTTTGAAGACTATAAAAAAATCACCGATGATTTTTTAACACATTCTTTGAGGAAAATCTTACTCAAGGAACAAATTAAAAGCTCCAAATTCTGGAGACAGAATGAAGCAGAGTTGAGGAACAGCTCTGAAAGTATTAGGGACCCTGATAAAATAGACTTTATATCTTAGCTTTGGCATCACATTGGCCTAACTGGTATTGCTGTTAGTGATGGGGAGGTATGATGCAGCAGAACTACATGAAAGAACTCGCACAGCAGCTGGATCACAGTGTTGACCAGTGGCCTTACACTTGCTGGTTCAGAGGACTTAAAATGTCCATGTATATCTTCTCTCTTCTCAGGCTGAGATAATGAGAGCTGTGAGACATGATTATAAGAGATTTTGTAAGAAAAAGGTGACGAAATTGGTCAAAGGTTTGAAACAGCATCCATATGAGGAGAGCATAAGACCCTTCTCCTTAAAACATACAACAGAGGGTTGATATGACAAAGATCAATGAAATTATTAATACTAAGCAGAACAGATGATAATTACTCATTCCTTCTCATAACACAAAATTCAGGAAAGCATTTAAGTGATCATGCAATGGTTCAAAACCAATGAAAGAAAAGTGTTCCTTCACTTGGATAGCTCAGATTATACCAAAACGTATTCAGTCATGCCTGCCCAGTAGTACCTGTTTATTGCTTTCTTAGGAATGTCTGAAACACAGCCACTAAATAAACTTCACACACAGAAGTCCTTGTAGTTCTAGTGCTGATTCTGCTGGGTTTCAGCTTTGTTTTATTTGGATGGTGAAGCGAACAAAGGTTCTTAGAAATGGATCCTACCGATACGGGGTGACTCAAACCATGCCAAATTTGATAGTGGAATTCATTTCCATAAGGCCTTGTGGGGGCCAGAATCATAAAGTGTTCAAAAAGGAATTTAGGTAGTTTAACAGGGATAGGACTATTAGCGACAATAAAGCATTGTGTCCAGCTCAGGAAAAGCTATGGGCCACTCTCAAGAGACAGGATACCGGGCTGGACTGACCTTCAGCTTCATCCAGTTTGTCAATTTTATGTTCTTACATATCCTCTTTACAGAATTCTAGTGGCTGTTGATGCGCTGACTCCTCATCTAATAAAATGTAGCTGGAAAACATCTGGCTCACAAATTGGTATGGCAGCCTCAGAGCTTTGCTACTTTCAAACCTCCATTTCTCCTTCTGACACCAAAAACATATCACTCGCTTCTCACATTGCTGGGAAGGGTTTGTCCTGAATGCTGAAACTGCAAGCCTATCTCAAATAAATGGAAAAACAGTAGTCTCTGTTCTTTTACCCTACCCCAGACTCTTAGATACCACCATGGGCAGCTGGATATGTAAGCTCACCCGCTATTGTGGCAGCAAGCCTTCAGCTGCTTGTAATAAGGAAAGTATCATAGTCGCAGCCAACCAAAACATAAGAGCTGCTGTTAGCTCCTGATCTAATTATACACTGACATAATTTGGCTGGAGTTGGCATTCACTAAAGAGATGTCAAAGTAAATGATTTCACTCCATTATGCAGCAATGGCAATGTTAACCCAAGGGAAATTCCTGGAGGAGATAAAACATTCATAATTCATTTTAGATGCTTTGTGAGCTTCTATCCTAAATGAGCAGAGGATAATCCAATACTCTGATGCCTGAATTTTGGAGGCACCTGTCTTTCCTTATATCATTTGGCAAAGGCAATAATTTCCCCGATTTGAAAAAGAGTTTGTGATGAGTTGCCATTGCAGTAAACAGCTCCAACTGTGCAACCCCTGCATGGGTCTCCCCATTGTCATTGCGATGGCATGGTAGGATGCTATATTTAAGACTCCAGGATGGGCACTGAAACATGGGGAACATTCTTTTGGGGAGAGTCATTCTTAGTGTCATCAACAGGGAGAAGAAAATGCTCCTTTGTCCTTTCCCTTTCATGAGGACAGGCACTCTCACTGTAGTCTTCACAGGGTGAGTTTGGTTTATCTGTAAATAAACTACTGTTTATAGCAAGATTTTGTAAGATCTTCATAGCAGCATCAGTTATTTTATATGATCACTTTATTTGAATTGCACTTCAGAGATAGACTGTGCTTCGTGATCGTATCTGCTTTAAAGTGTCATTACTGTTTTTCCAGTGTTGTTCTTATGAAAATACTGTTTTACTTCATGTTTTCTCACAAGAATCTATTCTGGTTTACCGGTCTGTTTAGAAAAAAATATGTACTTGGATTGAAAAGTGTAGGTTTTAGCAGATCAGAACTCTGTGTCTTTACAATAAACACTAGATGCTTTATGCACTGAAAATTTTCAAGGGAAAAATAAAAAACATTATATAGCAAAAATTAACCTGGATCGGTAACTATTCATGAAAATGGAAACAAAGATCTGATGCCCAGTAGCCATTCTGCAGCTGAAATAGTCCTGAAGAGAGTAGTATTCTATGAAATTACAGAACTCTGGTCTTTACAATAAACACTAGATGCTTTATGCACTGAAAATTTTCAAGGGAAAAATAAAAAACATTATATAGCAAAAATTAACCTGGATCGGTAACTATTCATGAAAATGGAAACAAAGATCTGATGCCCAGTAGCCATTCTGCAGCTGAAATAGTCCTGAAGAGAGTAGTATTCTATGAAATTACAAAGTTTTTTTTCCATAAAAGCCTGTTTTATTTTCTCTTTCTTATACTTGCCAACATTTCTTTGTTTCTTCCAAAGTTAACGTCTGCTGAGGAAATATTATCGTGATAATTCTGTATTTGCATTTGCATTTTGGGATATTTTGCATTTACCACAACAACTCTGCTTTTCCATACAACTGTGCTTTTCCATGGACTGTTTTTTAAGAAATTTGTTTACATTAACAGAAAATTGTGCTACTAGTAAAAGCTGAGGGGTTTGTGTTTTTTATCATTTTAGGATTAGAAAGCAGTAAAACTAAAATCCAGGTGCAAAATTTGCCAAGGGGAAATTTCAATAATGGAACATGAGCTAGGGAGAGATTTACAAGTATGTTTGAACAAATATTATTCGGCAACAATTACATTTCCAAAGCTGTTTTTATAAAGTAACCTAAGCTCTTAGAACTTGAAAATCTGAACAATTTAAGGATTGTGCTGTACGTTTCTGAACCAATTGCAGGACAGAAGGAGATAAGGAGGGATACAGTTCTAAAATTTACTTTTGTTTAATGCCCACTCATTAGTCAGTGCCTAAAAGCAGCACACTGCTTATTCCCAGAGGAGAGGCTGCAGCAACAGCCTAGTTCTTTAGCAGCTAATGCAGGAGGTGGATGGGAGCCAAGAGCGCCGATGTTTGCTCCCCGTGTTTCACCTGTAGGAGAGGGATCTCTTGGGGAAGGCTTCTCTGGTCACTCTGGGAAAAATCCTGCTGTTTACTGAGCAACTCCTTTAAGGCTAACATTTTGAAGGATGCTGTTTTCTCCATGTTTTATCAACCTTTTCCTAAGACCTAAGGAGAAACAAGTGATCTCTCAGGATGGACTCAAAGGACTGGATAAAGCATTATCCTCTTAAAGTATTGAACTGTAACTGTTCTTGTCAGCAGCCTAGATACGCAGATGGGAATACAGGCTGAAGAAGTGCTGTTTCGGCAACGGCAACTGGAACTGGTTAGTTCCAGAAAATCCACTTGCATTTTCCAACTACCACAGACACCAAGTGATTTCTGCACAGCAGCCCGTGTGTTTGCTTCAGCAGCATTGCCTTATCTAACCCCTGGCACATCCAGGCAGGGTCAGAACATGCGTTCTGACCTGATCACAACCTGGGTGGCAGGTCACAGGCTATTTGGCATCATAGCTACCCCTGCAATATAGTTTCCAGACTGAAAATCTGCTTATTTTCTAAACTTTTCCTCCGTATCTTACTATCTGATGTTCCATACCTTATTTTGTCCCTAATCTTCCATGTCCTTCTGATCTCCCTTCTCATGATGCTCCTCATTCGTCTGCATGCTATATTGGGGGTCTGATCTAATGGAACTCCCTGGAAGAATATCCACCAGATTTAGAGCATAAGATCAGTCCTAGGAAAACAAAGATCAGTCCTAGGAAAACAAATCGACCCACAAAATGCTGCCTACTTACTGTTCTGTTACAGCTTCAGCTGCCTTTAAAGACTTATTAATTTCTTCATCTGATTCCATTTTTCACAGAAGCATCACGAAACAAACCCCTTTCATAGTTTGAATGCCAGAAGATAGTATTATATGAACTTTCACTCACAGCCCTTGAACGTCAATGCAAAGCAAGGACTTAATGATAACTTAAAGAGATTCTGTTAAGGTGTCTTATTTGAAAGCCACTTTATGTTTTATTCTATTCCAGCAAGGAAGTTCATTTTTGACTTCCCAGCATGGGAACCCGAACCTTCTTCCACCACAGAGAGGAGGAGCAAAAGGAGGAGAGGCAACAGAGCTTGCAAATGACCTCCACAACTAGAAAGAAAAAGTTCAAAACCAGGTAAGCCATAGAGTTAGAGACAGGCCGAGTAAATCAGGTCCAGACAGGACTTCCTACACTCGGCACTAAGCATTCATAGATTTGTTGAATTTTGAGTTTATGAAATTATGGAATCTTGTCTGGATTTTTTTACGTGCGTCTGCCTCTGGAAGCGAGGAAGAAGAGACTTTCAGCCTTTCAGAGTTATCGATAGCAGCTGCCCTTGCCTTGACCTCCGAAATACCACAGTAAGTCAGAAATCATTAGAACTCAAATACAACCATTGTATGCAACATCACCTTTGTATATAGGGGTCCCAGTTTCCAACTCATTTTGCTGGAAGCAAAAAGAGCAGGTTCAATCAAGAGGTTCTTTCTTTAAAAAGAAAAACACCAGACCTCAACTAAAATGCAGGAAACGAAATTTTATCGCCTTGGTACCTGTGATAATGAGTAATAGTGCCCTGCTCACAAGCAAGGGCTTAAGAGAAACCAGGTTTCATATGAATAAATGGAAAATACCGTCAGATTAATAAATTAATGGTAACAGATGGAGCTCCCCCTCTTTCCTAGAGAATCTTGGCAATCATCCTGCTGTCCATCCTTCTGTGATGGCTGAACACCCTAAGTAGTTAGCAACATCCCTCCTCCCTTTAACCTTTCTCCCAGTTCCCTGCCTGGGATTAAAAGTGGTGATATAGTGGATCCCCTTCTTACGCCGTTAAAGTGTTATATTTCATGGTAGCACTGCTGGTTCCTGTGAGGCATAATTGCCTGACATTCATACCCATACTGCATGCAAGCTGATGTTTCTGTCCTTAGCACTTGTTCTGATTTAACCAAAAATACGTGCTATAAAACAACAAAAAAGACCAAAACAAAACAAAAAGCATTATCGTAACTTCTGTTGGCTTTTATCATCCTCTGTTGCAGGGATTACAAGATAAAAAGAGAAGCTGCCATCCTAGAGCTAGAACAGAGGGGGCAAAAGAGAGTTCGGTTTGGGAATGACATGGAAAAGTTGGAAAAGGAGGTTATTCGGAACTGCAGACTGCTGCGTGTGAGAGCTGACCGGAAGGCCCTTCGGAGGAAGGTCAGATCAGACATCTCTATTGGTAGCAGAAATGGCAACAGGATTAAAATTGCCAAGACTAACTAGCATTCTGGAGACGATTCTAAACCTAATCAGGTGTTAGGACAACCTCAAAACCATTAGAAATAAGGCCTTATACTCCTGCCACTGAAGCATTATCACACATGTCCCTTTGTAAAAGACTTTGTGTAGTTAGAACGTAATCCCTTTCTATTGCCTTTATTTAGTCTATCCTTGTCATAGGCTGTAGAAAAGGCATGCGTGGAGAAGGAATACATTGAGCTGCGATCGGGGCGACCACCTATGTTCTGGATCCCCCTCAGAGTACATGCAGTCTGGGAGAGGATGGAAGTGAAGCTGGCATGTACGGTCCTGGCTTCCCCACCGCCGCAGGTTACTTGGTATGTCAGTTGATAGCAATGACTCATGCTGCCCACGTGGCTAACAGTCTGTGTGCGTTTCAGGAAGCAACCAGAGGAGTAACATCTGTGTCCTGCTAGAAGGAAGGAAGGGAGAGCTTCAGAAATCACGGAAAACACTTTCAATTCTCCAGTTCCACTGTTAGGACCAGTAAAGACATTAAGTAATCAGTGGGCCGTGGAGGCAGTGGACAGTCCTACGGGGCTCCTTCTGGGATAGGACTGACATTCATGTAGATTTCCCTGCTTCCCTTGGTGCTGTCCTCCATCCTGCAGGCAAACTCAGGATTTAAGTCTCGGAAACCAGGATCTATTGCCAGCACTAAATCACTGCACACATACGCACCATCAAGGCTTGGATACCTTGGATACTATGCAAGTTTTAGCATTAAAACTTGCCATCACTCCTACAATTTGTAAAATACAAACCAACTCTTTCATTTACTCAGCTTTGCATATTTACCAAACCACAGGAGAGGAAGTGTTACGTACTGGGCCTGACTGCAGCATTTACCGTTAATAACAGAGGGATGGAAATAAATGAAAGATCACCTCAAAAAACAATTTGCAAACTGTACTTTGACCAGTTTGTTAAAGTGATCGACCATTCCTCCCATGGAAGGTTTGAAGTATGCAAACATTTGGATTACTAATGACTTCGTAGGCAGCTAACTCTGCCACTGTCAGAACTCCTGATGTCCTGTGTTCTTCCAGAACAACCTCTTTGAATTATTCCAAGAACAAAGAGAATATGAACCTCCCACAGATTCCCAGTGAACACAAAGAAGCAAGAGACAACTGCCCGAACTCCCTCGCACAACCTGCAAAGCAGGGAGCGCAAACTGAGGAGGAAGCAACAAGCCAATGCTAAGCTGCCCGTAGGCAGTCTGCAAGCAGCCCTAGGGAAGAAACAGACGCAGGACTATGGGAGGGGATCTAGGTTAGCTGCAAGGCTGTTTTGGGGTGTGAGAGACCTGTAAAAGAGGGAATTGTGTCTACTCCTCTGTTTTGTTGTGCCTCTGTTGTGTTTGACATGGTTAATCATAAAATAAAGTGTTAATTTTACCAGTCAATTTCTCTGTCCTTTCCTAAGCAGCATGTTTCCTTTGTGTTCAACTAGGTATAAAAATGGAGTGCGTATTGATCCTCGCCTAGCCCCAGCAGGAAAATACAAGATAAAAAACAAGTTTGGGATGCTGACCCTGCACATCAGCAGGTAATGTGTGTGCTCGTCCGAGTTGTTTTTTCAGTTGAGTAAGACCTGCTCTCCTGAAACTCCCAGTTTGTGTATGCTAAACAAAAAAAAGAGAATTCTTCTGGAATCTGACCCTGCTTGACTTTAGTGGGTTGTGTCTGAGCTAAACCTTTGCCGTTAGGAAGTTCATGAGGTTTAAAAAATCTTAAAAAAAAAATTTAGAGCCTTATTTGGTTTTGCTCTTTTTAGGCATGGCCAAAATTTTCTCAATCAGGGTAAGGCCATGCACTTTAAGAGCACTTCACAAGCAGACATACCAGTGTGATTTAGGATGGATCAATGTAATCAGAATGACATTAGTTCAACTCTATGAATTATACATGTGATAAAGATAGATGCATATCTTCAGCGGAATGAAGTGTTTCACAGGTCTTTTGCTTGTTCATTACTTGAAATGTTTTGCTTCTGTGTATCAAGAGAGAAAAACTGACCACTAAATATAAGAAATCCTTGTAATTGAAAGGAAAAGCAGCTTCTTGACGAAAAGCAAGTATCTGCTTCTAACTTCTGGAATTAAAGGGGAACAAACCTCCTTGAATTTGTCCCGTGAAGTATGAACAATAACTGAAACCTAAATGGAGCGGAAATGTTTTTTTTCCAGATGCTCCATGGAAGATTCTGCTGAATATAGTGTTGAAGTTAAGAATCAATACGGCGAGGCTTATTCATTTGCTACAGTGCTTGTCAGGAGTAAGTAGGAAATGTTCCTTTGGTTTTAAATTTACAAATTCTTTAGATTCTTCAAAATATTTTCAATGCTATACATTATATCATAGGAACATACAAGCACTCTGGAAAAACAGAGAAAGAAGTGAGCACTCTGTTAATAGGAGAGGAGAATTTCTCTCAGTTATTAATAAGGGGAAAGCACAACTGGGTAAAATAATCCTTAGCTACCACTAACTAATATGTATATGGCTGATATAACGGCTTCTCTTCCTCAGTCACTTCTGGACTCAGGCAAAATCTTTCAGATTCCATACGGACACAGCTGTCCTTCCAATGTGCTGAAATTGTACTAAATTTAGGTACTTATTTCTTCTGGACTGATGTGAAACAGCCATACAGTTAAATACATAACAGGCTTAGAAAGAGTCTGCTGCATTTCTAAAGATAAGCAAGAAATTGGTTAACAAGTACTGTGGCTTTCAAAGGGATCTCTCAGTGCAATATTGCATAGAATACCGTATTTCTCTCTCAAATCTGTAACTACCAAGAGCAAATACAAGATTTTCTTTTTTGGATCTGTGCTGTTCTTAAAATAACTGGCATAGACTCCGTAGATACACATACTGCACAAGCCAAATCCACACATATGGTGAAGGAAGTAAACCAACAGTATTTAAAAAGGGAAATTATATCAAGCTTTAAGAAATATGCAGTGCAGTCTCATAGGATCATAGTTTAGCTGTTCACATTTATATATATTTACACACATATATATAAAAATAACAATTTTGTCATAAAAAGCCTGAACAGAATAGATCCACAGAACTGTAGACAACTAAATGCTTCAGTGGGACTGACAGCGTCCAGGGAGTAATTCCAATGGTAACAGGAAGGGAACAGGTTTGCTTTGGACATCTTACTGGTCACGAAGAGATGGGTTTCTTCAACTGATTGAATTGCAAAGCCAGCCTGAACTATTTTTTCAGACAGAAGGGGTCTTCTCTGGTTTAGATAGTATATTTATTGTTAGTGCTTTAATATATTCTTGGTACTGTCATGGGTTATGTTATTATCATCCTTATTCTTTGCATGCCATATTTTGATCACATCGGAATACAGTTTGGGGATACATACGCGTACAGAAGAATGTGACTCCAGAATTGTAATAGAAGTGTATTGTTTATGATATCTTTCAGATCCTCTAATTAAACAATGTCAAAATTCAGCATATCTGGAAATATGCAGCACACACTTAACAATTCTAAAGGGACGTGTATAATAGCCCATAAAACCTTCATTTGCAAGCCTTCTCAGATTCCTAAACTGCCCTTATCCTAATGCAGAAATACAGAAAAATTTACCAGGTGCGCAATGCTTCTCTTCTAGAAAGGTTCTTATAGTATGTCCAGAACTCAGGAACTGGGCCTTTGCCATAAAGCAGAAGCAGCTGTCTGAAAAAAAATCCATGGCGATAATCACATACTCCTCCCAATTCCCATCAGCATCTTTAGGATCAGAGCAGGCACGATGGTAGAATAAGAGCTGTGGTCTAACACAGAAAACCTTAGATGGGACTGATCTCTTCACCTCTAAGTGCCTGATTAAACTGCCCTTCATCAGGCTTGATCAGCATTTCAAACAGCTTGCAAACATTGTTCCTTGTGATTGGGGGTGAGAGGCCCACACTGTTCCTTCTCACTTGACCCTGCCTAATGCCATCCCAGTAACATGATTCTTCCTTTTGCTATTTGCATTTAACGTTCTGAAAATAGAGACTACACCAAGGCCTTAATCCTGCCTCCACTGGAAACATTCCTCATCGCCCAGGCAGGCCGATGGCATCTCTTCTCCTGGCCCCACGCTGTCTGGAATGCCCTTGATGCCAGGGGAGGGCCTCCGGGATCTGTGGTTCACTTTCCCTAAAGACATCACTGAGGGTCTCACAGGACCTGGAATGAGGCTGTGCTTTGCCTCTTGTGCTTTCTATTTCTTTCCTCTTCAGCTATTAACACTCAGTCCTCATCTTTTGCTTATGAGTGAGCTCTGCTACTGCCAAGCTTCATTCATTGAAAAAATAGGCATCATTTTATGTGCATTTCTTGCAGCTTATAAAGATAAGAAAGGAAAGTACCTTAATTTCATCCTGTGTGAAGTGCATCAGTTCTTACATTTCGGCTCCAAATAATTTCATTTTGTGCTGTGATGCCAGCAGTTCTCACAGGCTAGATCAGGTGAAGCAGGCCAGCATTCACATACAATGTCTCCAAAGAATCCACGACTGTTGAAACAAGTGATTTGGCAGGGGACACACTTCCCTTGGTCCAGGAATTCCCTCAGTGTCTCAGGACAGATATCCTTTCTTTTGGTTAAAGCTTGAAGTCCCCGTCATTGGTAGTCTTCAAGAATCCCACACCATCCTCTGGGAATGCTGCTTAAACCCAGGGGTTTGGCCAAATTCCACTTTCAGTAATGTTTATGACACCAACACTTTTTCCTTTTCCGTGCTGTATGTGGCAATAAGTAGCTGTCACGCTCTGTCTCCAAATAGGGACATAATTGAAGCATTTCAGTTATGGGTGATCCTAGATTGTGACGCTTCTAATTTGGACAGTACCATGTTGGTACACCCATGTAACAAAAGTTGTGGCTCTCTGTATGCATGCTTTTATTCAGCATAACTTTCCTAGTGCAGCTTAAAAAGACAGAAGCCAAACTGAAAAAAAGCCTCCTTAGCTATGAAAAGCCGTGTGCACATGAGCATTTAAAGCAGTATTGCTTATACTAGTATAGTCATATGAACAATTTCCTATGTAGATGCATCCTGAGTTGTTTGTGAAGGGCATCAGCTGTCAAATGAATTAATGTTTTACCATATGATGACACTTTGAAGGTTCACATTAAGAGCTGGTTTGAGGGAAAAACATAGTTTGCTGAGCATCATTGTATGTTTTTGAGGGGAAGATAAACACTGGTATGAGATTTGCTAAATGTGTTTTCTTCTTGTCTTATAGAATATTACGGAAAGGAGTCAGGATTTGATTCAGAAATATACAGAAGTGAGTAAATGGTTGTTATTATTATTACTACTTTTATTTTTATAGCCTGAAGCAATTTGATTCTTTTCTTCTGAGCTATAGCTTTTCCTATTAGCCTGACTGCACGTGAAAAGTAAAAGGCTCAGGTACCACTCTAAATATGTGATAATAAAAATACTACAAGGAGGAAGGCTCTGGGAAGTCTATCATGCTGGCTTTTACTCTTGTTTCATAGGATCCCTTATGGCCAGAGAGGCAGATTTTGCTTTTCCACTGAAACCCTTATTTTCAAGAGAAAAGGAGCCTTTCACCCTCTCCTGTTACTTCTCTTCTGATTTACTTGAACACCAACGAGACATTACCTGGTTCAGAGATGGTTTGTATGCAACAGCTAAGTTTATATACATGTACCTATATGAATATACCATTTGAATTCACAGGTGTGTTCTAATGTTCACAGGAGAGAACTAGAATTCAGGATTCTTGAGCTGCTCTCAGCTCTTCTCAAGCTACAGATGTTATTATTTAATTTGTATGTTTTCCTCACTTGTAAAAGGATGACACCGCTAAAATGTTTTGGAGGTAATGACTTATCTCTGCTCGTAAGAATAGTTTAAGAGCCTTAGTTCTATACAATGAAAGGGCCAAGCGTTTGAAAAGCCAGTGGTTCTCTAGTGAAAAAAACCTTTTGGATATTCTGTGTTGTTCTGCTGGCAATCAAGGATGTTGATCTTAGCCAAACTGGTAATCCTTCTGTGCTATTAAAGTTTTGGAAAGCAGAAGCAACACAGTAAGACTGCTCTTGCCATTCCAGCACTTCTGCCAGTATCAGCTGTGAAAATAGCAGGGCCTATTGAGTTTTAGTGATTTGAGGAGAATTTGGCTAGAGTTTGTATCTCAGATCTGATAAAAATACACAAAATGCACAGTATGTGCCATTCCGCTTTCTTGGTTTTGAGCACCACTCAGACAAAAGACCCTGCGTGCTGAGCAGTCATGTATCCTCAGTTAGAGCTGGCACAGTATTTGGCAGACTTCAGAGCATCCAGTTACCTGGTGTGAAGAGTACCTTTTACTCCCTAATTCATCTGAAGCTGCATTTTATTACTCCTTTTCACTTGGACTGCAAGCTATTCAGGACAAGGACCATGATTTTTGCTCTGCATTTGTGTACAAAGGGAACAGAGAGGCATAGCAACAAAGTAGGATCAGAGTCCATGACTGTAACTTGGAGGCATAATAATAATATCAGGAGTGTCTTAGAGATCCCTCATCTTGCTCTGTGGGTTTTTTTGCATTTGGAAATATGCCAGTCCTGACTCAACCAGTTCAGGTGGAGTTCCTTTACCCCTTCTCATGCTTCACAGGCAAGTTGCTGCAGAACTCTGAATGTCGGGAACTAAAGTACCAAGACCAGGAGGCTTCTCTGACGGTGTCATGTGCTTACAAAGAAGATGAGGGATTCTACACTATCCGTGTCCCCTCACTGGATGGATATAAAGAGCAGACCACTTACGTGTTTGTTAGAGGTATAAGCAGGATTCTATCCTACTTAGAACAAAAGCTCCTTTCCTAATACCTTGGCATAAAGGAATTCACAGCCTCATAGACAAGAAAATATCTCCCAATTTTGTGCATGGATACAGTTATCAAAATGTCCAAATCTTATTTTCAGTAGTGATTTAGGTATTAGAAAATATGACTTGTATTACTGGGATGTAGGCCCTCAGATACTTAAAATTAAGCTACTGAATGAAAATTTTGGTACAGAGAAGAAAAAAACCTAACCATTATCACTTGGTGTTTCTATAGATGCTGCAGCAGAAACAGCTGGTGCACCTGGATCCCCACTCAACGTGAAATGCCATGATGTAAATACAGACTGCTTGATTCTTTCTTGGGTAGCGCCCAGTGACAACGGAGGAAGTCCAATCCTGGGATACTATATTGAAAGGTCTGTATGTTAATCATCTTTGAGCAAAAATGCTCATGATCATGTTGTGGAAAAACCACGAAGAAACTCCATGGGCTGTGTTTCATTTCAGGTGTGTTGCTGGGTCAGAGGATTGGGTCCCATGCAATGACAAGCCTGTGAAAACCTGCAGATACCCTGTCTTGGGCCTTGCTGAAGGACAGACATACCAGTTCCGAGTAAAGGCCGTCAATAAAGAGGGCATCAGTCATCCTTCAAAAACCAGTGATCCAGTTACAACATATGACACCAGCAAGGACAAGAGAGTGACAGGTTTGTACTAAAACCAGGAAAATTTTCTCCTTAAGTACAATGTGAGGCTGCAGGTATAACTGAATGCAGTTTGTCCAGATCCTCCCCATTCTCACAAATATCATTGCAACATACTGCCATGCCTTTGCTGAACCCACCTTAGTACTATTCTGAACAGAAAAAGATCAAAATACCAGTTACGACATTTCATTGTATGTGTAATTAAATGTCTATAATTATGCATATAATGAAATGACACAGTCCTGGGCTCTGTCTTTCTTGACAAGCCCCAAGCATCTTCTCTTAGTGGATAACATTGCCCTGTTTGACATTACAGTTATTCCATACGACGAAGGCAGGACGATAGAAATTTTCAAGGATGACCTGGAAGGTAAGTTCAAATTTATACTGAGCCGTTCTCTCAGAGAGGAATGGTTGTTCTACAACGAGATCTGTAATAACATGACTCTGAGAAAACACACTTAGGAAAATATATGGTGAAACATCATTGTAAGCTGCACAAGGATCAGAAACTATCCTAAATAGCACAGCCTTTTATAATAATCTTGGTTTGCCGCTATGTCCCCAAAGGGTTTAAGTCTCCTCCTTTATATTGAAGAATCTTACTTTATAGTGGGAAAACATAATCCATTGTAAAAGAACTTTTTTTTCCTGCCACATTATAACTAAAGCATAGCCTATTCTGACTTCCCATAGGACATATTAAAATTCCCTTGCCACCCACCAATGTTCATGCAAGTGAGGTCAGAGAAGATTATGTGGCTTTGGCCTGGGACGAACCAGATCCAAGAGGCAGAGAGCCACTGAATTATTATGTGGAAAAGGTAAGAAAATAATATCACATAGAAGGGAAATTGCAGAACAGAATCATTTATTTCTCAGACGGCCTATAGCACAGGCAAGGCTATTCACTGTGTCGATAACCGGAGAATTACAGCCTCAAAAATGGCTTGCTCAGCCTCTCTCCAGATCCACAGTTTACTTGAGCTACGATCGTGACTCTTGACACCAACTCAAGTAGTAATGATTAACAAAGAATAAACAAGTAAGTTTTACACCACAGAATAGTAGCAGAGTTTTAACAGGAAGACTGTTCCTGTCCTATGGGCCCTTAAGCGTGGAAAAGCTGCAAAGAACTGCACAATAGTTCACTTTCCAGTTCCCCACTAATCATTTTGCCCGTTAATTAGTATCTTCTACCAATCTCCTTTCACACATACTCATTTCCCACCTGCTGTACCATTTCTGCTGCGAAGGGTCCCTCTGTTGCCAAGGAAGAAAAGTTTGGGTGTATCAACAAGAAATAAATCATTTGGTTTGTTTGTTTGTTTTAAAACTACTTTCCTGTAAAGATCAGCTTTGTATTGCTCAGGAGGGTTTTAAGCTTGAGTTACAATATGAGTTGTAAATCATCACCTTTTTCGTTACAGTCAATTGCAGGCAGCAACTCCTGGCAAATGGTTAATCTGGATATGCCAGTTAATTCCCCAAGATTTGCACTCTTTGATCTCGTTAAAGGAAAATCATACTGTTTCCGCGTGCGATCTGTTAACAAGTATGGAATCAGTGAGCCATCCCTGCCCAGTGAGCCTGTAACTGCTGGAGCAAAACTGGGTAATTATTTCATTAATATGCTCTACACTAATGACATGGAAAAGGAGATGTACTATGAAAGTAATGTGTGGGTTCCCCTGCCCCTCCTTTCCTTTAAACTTCATGGTATATGATTACACAGCAGTTGCTTTGATATCAGGAAATCTCTTAAAGCCTTAAATCCTTGTTTAATTACTTTGCAGTTGGTCAGTGCAGTGTAAATCTAACCAAGTGATGATAGGGGAATTACATTTAATAAAATAAGAAACAGTTGAAGCCTGTGTTTAATCCAAGTATGCTTCCAGCACTGTGTAAGAGAGTGATTACACAGACCAGTGTTGGAAGGAATGATACAACTGCTGAAGGAGCCTGTTTCTGGGGGCTTCACACAGAACAGCAGTCTTCGCAGTGCTGATTTGTTTTGTTTTCTTCCCAGACTGAGCTGACAAAAGTAAGAGATGCAAAGGCTCATGCCCATGTTTCCCTTGTGCAGAGATGAGCACTCACTCTTTCTTTTATTTTTTTATATTCTCCCATATTAAAGCTGCCTTAGTGTTCACTCATACTGTCCTTTTTCAAGAGTGAAGCAGGTCCCATTTCATTGTGGAGTCACATGAGAGTTGCTGTATGAATCTCATTTCTCCTCTACTTCAGAGAAGGTTAAGTAGGTGTAACTCTGCAGAAATCAATGGGCTGTAAGGGAGAGGAATATGAGATATGGCAAACCCAAACATAGAAGTATAGGCTGTAGACTGGGACAATGTCCATGGTATTTTGCTCTAATTTGAAAATGATGCTCCGGAAAAGGTGAATAAATCAAACAGACCAACTCACTGATAGTATTTTTTAAATTCATAAATTTTAAACCCCTCTATTTTTCTCTGTTTTTTCCTTTTTAGCTACTCTGCCTCCACCATCTCAGGTTTTAGCTTTCAGAGACACCAAGACATCTGTTGTTTTGCAATGGGATAAGTTAAAGGATGGTCTGGAGCCTCTTGGCTACTACATATATTGTCGGGAGACTGGGACAGAAGAATGGCAAACTGTCAATAATAAGCCCGTGACATGTAATGAGTGAGTTCAGCTCTTATACTCCACTGAGAGAAGACAGGGTGCCGACTTGGATTCTTCTGTTTAAGGCTGGAGTCATATTTCAGATAAAAGAAGAACTTCCTTCTCCGCACATGCATAAGCATGCATGCACACAAACACCACATCCTCTTTTAGAATTTAGTATTGCTCAAAGTCTCACTTTTACATCCAAAGCCAGACTGATAGCAAAGTCTGTGTATATATCTGGATATATATGTATATATGTATATATCTGTCTCTGGATCTGCAGAAGGTAGATAGACCTTGTGGCACCAGCAGAACTACATTCCATTTTTTTGCTTGCTTTCCAGTAGAGTAAGTTGGTGTCACTCTCACATAGGATTTAGAATACCTCTCTAGCTATGAGGGTCACATGTCAAGCAGAAGAAGTCCATTAAAAAGTCCTATTTATTCTACAGACAATGCCAGCCAGCAGTGTGACACCTCTCTATCTGATCTATACTTACTGTCTGATTTATTGGTAGCCATTTTACGTGACACAGTGAACTTCAATTTGTAATGGCAAATAATGACTTTGTAAGTAACAATGCCTTATTAAAATGTATTGCTGTCTGTTCAAAAGACTGTTTACCTGTATTTTGAACAGTCAAACACAAACATATTAATTTGCTCTCCTAGATTTACTGTTCCTGGGCTGCAGCCTGGAAAAGAATATGTCTTTTGTGTGAAATCTGTCAGTGAAGCAGGACTAAGTGAAAGCTCACCAGAAACAGATCCTATCGTTGTAAGGCAAGCTATTGGTAAGTAGTAACATATACATGCACATACACACAAAAACTAAATCCCTCAAAAATGTATTTATCATGCATAGCTATTATTACATGTAGTGGTAATAACATTGAGCAGATAAGCAAAGCAAAGCAACAGGGAACTGATTTTCTTGCATCCTGCAGCTTCTGTCATCAATTGTACTTGTCAAGGGTGGACAGAGTTAATGAGCATTTTGACTTAGCAGTGTGTTACATTTTCAGTATTAATTTGGCACTGGTACAAGTGACCATTTTAAGTGCTCAATTATGCTGGTATCTTGAAATCATCATTGTGAACGTCTCCAGGGCAATTACAAAATCCTACCAACCACATTAGCCAGTATCTAACCCTCCATCTTCTCCATTTTATCGACCCACTGCTTCCATCTTTTCTGTCAGACAAACCATAAAGCAACATGCAAGAAATATCCTGAGACACATCCGTGACTTTTGCTGTGACTTCCAAATAAGAATCTGGTCATTTTCAAATACTTTTACACAGCAAAAGTGGTATTAGGGGGCCTTAACACAAATGGAATCACATCTGGTATGAGCACACAGAGATTTCCTCAGCCCAGTTCATCCCATACCTACACCTCTTTTCCCGATCCCTAGATCCCAAACCTGCATTGAATAATACCGTGTTTTCTCTCTCCCTCTGCCGCACAGCTTGTCCATCAGCACCACACGGGTTTGTTCTTCTAAATTGTGGGAAGGCTGACATGACCATCGGCTGGAAACCCCCGAAGCGCAAGGGAGGAACAAAGATTCTGGGTTATTTCGTAGATCAGCATGATATATCTGAACTAGATTGGCATGAAGTCAATATTCAGCCAATTCCGCAACGAGTTTGCACGGTATTCATTTCAGATACAATACTGTCCTTCTTTAAGCATAGTGGGAACCATAGCTGTAACAAGGGTTGAGCTGTTTTCTAGTCTAGAACTCTCCTCCTACCCTCACAAGACTACGACCATGCAGGATTGTTCTAATAATCTGTTTGCACTTCTGAACCCAAAGGTCAGCAACCTTGAGGAAGGTCACCTGTATGAATTCCGTGCCTGTGCAGTGAACATGGCTGGTGTTGGGGAAGTATCTGAACCCAGTGACTTGTTCAGATGTGAGGAGTGGACAATGCCAGAACCAGGTATCTCTCATGTAAAAACAACAGCCAGAAAAATATTTCCAGGTATACTAGTTATCTCCTCACTCTTCTGTGAATCCAAGGGACTTCTGAAAACTATAGGTCTGTAGAAGGGTGGCTCCCAGTACAGAAAAGCACACAAACTTCTACGGAAGTTTGATTCAGGCATAGGCTATTATTTCTCATTACACAGATACAGCACCCAGGTATTTTTAATAACGTTTCCAGAGAATGAAGAATCTGGATCTAATATCTTAATGTCTTTGTATATTACACCAAAGCAAATAACATTAAACCTGCTGGTGCATGCATTTTCTAGAACCTACCTCTACAGTTAATTAGCATAGAAAGCATCTCCTATGCGCCCACTATTTCCTTGTTACCTTAAAACTCTCTACTTTCTGATCTCAAACTCAAACAAAGTGCACCCAGTTGCATTTTTTTAATGTTACTGTTTGACAGCCTACCCTTCTTTGAACAGGCCCTCCTTATGATGTGAAGTGCACTGAAGTGAGAGACACATCCCTGAAGCTACACTGGGAAGCACCATTGTACATAGGAGCAGGTCCTGTTACAGGGTATTATGTAGACATGTGTGAAGAAGGATCAGAGGAATGGAAACAAATAAATAAGCAGTCCATAGCCACCACCCATATGAAGGTCTGTATATGCACCTAGTATCCAACTGTTGCTTCTCATTTAGTCTTACGTTAATTCCTGTCATTGTTTCCTGCAGGTTTCAGATCTGGAGACAGGGAAATGCTATATTTTCCGAGTAAGAGCACTGAACAAGGCTGGAATTGGACCCCCTTCACTCCCCTCGGATCCTGTGGTAGCTAAAACCAAACCCGGTATGAAACTAAAAGTGATGAGATAGTGCAAGTCTGTAAATACTATGATGATTCCGGTAAAAAAATGCTTTATGAAACATCAGCTACATGTTTCATAGCAAGAAAGAACCACAGTCAAAATAAAGATTAGCAAATCAAACTGCCCAAATGAATTTACTCTAGCTGTACAGTCTGTCTTTTTTTTTTTTTTTTGAGTTAGATGTCCAGAAGCTAAGCCCTGATCTATTTTGGTAAGGAATGTTTTGTGGTTTTTTTCCTCATACAGGCACAAATGATATTGAACTTGGGGTCGATGAAGAGGGTTTCATTTATATGGCTTTTGAAGCTCCTGAAAAGAATGACTGCTCTGAATTTATCTGGTCAAAGGACTATGAAGGACCACCAGATGCTGACAGAGTTCAGACTGAAGAGAAAGGCAATAAGTGAGTATATAATGCACACTGAGAAAATTAATTGTGGACTGTCAAATAAAGAACACATTAAACACTGAGAAAAATGTGAAGCCAAATGCTTCCCTCTCCTTCCAAGCTAAAATACATATACACAATTGAACTTCTGCAAATCTCTGTACCTGATTCTCAGCTCTGGTGTCCATGAAATGGGGCATTCAGTGCAATCTTCAGGTCACAAAAGGGAAGCATCAGCCATCATACTGCTAATGTTTTTGCCTTGCTCCTCAGTGTCACATATAAATGACAATAAGTGCTATATTTGATGTTCCGGGTGTATCAAATGTATTGCATTCTGTTACAGAAGGCATAATTTTTTAGGATATTATTATTATTATTATTATTATTATTATTATTATTATTATTATTATTATTATTATTATTTCTAAGATCTAAGCTATTATTATTATTATTATTATTAAAAACTAATAATTGACAAGAACAAAAATCTAATGTGCTATAATTTTCTAATATTAGATGTTTAGAGGAAAGTTTCTCCTATAGGAATAGTAAGTGATAATGATAATAATGATAGTGGCATCATTGGAAAGATGTTTCCCATTCCTTGAAGGCTCAAGGGCAGTTTCTTTTACAGTCCCCTAAGAAAAGATTCCATGCTCCTGGAAGGTCATTTTTCCATTACAGTTCAGATTTCACACACAGTTACACTATCACAGTGATTTAAAACTTCTCTAACATGCTTCTTGAATTGCTACAACTAACATTTTGTCCAGACATAACGAAGAATTATCTTCACAACCTTTTCTAGTCCTCCTCCAATGTTTCGTACTTATTATCTTCTTCTTGACATAAATAAAGCTCATTAACAAATTAAATTAATACAATTAATTCATTTTGGCCTAGTTGTACTAATCTAAATAACTTATTATTTGCATTTCAGATCTGGACAAGTTATTGAAACGTAGCCATGAAATCAGGAACCCATGTAAGTTGAAAGAGTAAGAAGCCACTACCATATGTATAGACACTGAAAGGGGAACCCTGGCATAACCCCGGCTGAGCCAAATTCTGTGGTTTGCCTGTGAATTCCCCTCCATTCTTCTCTTTGTTTTCCAGTGATCAAGCTGATATCTGGATGGAACATTGATGTTCTGGAGAAAGGAGAAGTGCGGCTGTGGTTGGAGGTTGAAAAGCTGTCACCAAATGCAGAGCTGCATTTAATCTTCAATGACAAGGAGCTGACAAGTACTCCAGTATGTTTTGTTTTGTTTTTAATTCTGACTTACTTTCCCTCTGCTGAACAGGGAGATAGAGCAAATGGGTACATTCCCAGTTTTCTAAATTCCCATCAGATATTTTGATGTGTGGTTTTGGAAGACTCTAGGGCTTGGTTTTTCCACCGTGCATAAACAGAAAGCCAACTGTCTGATTCTCAAGCTGTCCAGTCCTAGTATCAAGCAAGGCTGCAGCATTGACGTTGTTAGTTCAAGACAGTGTAATATTCCTCTGTGCTATGGCCAGCAAAACCTTCAGTGGTAACACTCAGAGAACGTCCCCTCCTTATCCAGCTTTCCTGTTATCCCCCCCGTCCTGAGAAGGCTGCCTCTGACAATCTTGCCACAGCAGAGACTTCCCTTTTATAATGGAATTTTCTGACAACAAACCTCAGCCTTGTGTAATTCATCTGATACTACAAATGCAGCAGAGAGCTTTGTCTTAGACAAACAAACTCGACTCATTTCAGTGGATGCTAAAGAAATACCATCTCTCACAATAAGACAAGATATTTTTCTTCTGCTTTACCAAGCAAAGCTGCAAGCTTTCCACCCTATCTCTTTGAACTGAATACAGATAAATCTCATGAATTGTAAAAGCAGATGAAAGTGATTTATTTCTCAGTCAGAGGCACTGGAAATAACACTGCATCATGTGTTACAGTGCACTCCAACCTTCTGATACATTTAAAAAAATGTTCTAGCCTCTTCCTTGTCTTCCCATATCAAGTTAATATTATAACATTTAAAAAGTATTTGGAATGACAGGACCAGAGGGGAGAACAGTTGAGAATGAAGAACAATATAAATCATTCGCCTGTCAGTTAAATGCAGTGTAGCAATGCCAAGATAACAAAAAGAACAGATATAACAGAGGGATAGGACTAGGCCAAAGAATTTCAGAGCTGTTATTGCGATGTTGGGTTTTTTTAAAGCAATGTGTAGCAAATTTATTGAAGGCTTTGTCTATTCGAAGCAGTGTCTTTTCTACACTGGAGAACTGACACGGTTATGCATGATTACAAAGTATTTGTTGAGCTCTTTGTAATGATAATATTTGCTTAGAGCAAACAAGGCAGTAAGGCATAATGATGATATTTATGTTTAAGCGCCTGGCAGGTTTCGGGGTGTATGTATAAAAGGTTCAGTAGTGCTTGCATGATGTCAAGAGGGTGGCAGTATTACTCATCATTGCCCAAATATGCAATTACATGCCACAGATGTATAATTAAGTGCAACACTTCTATTATACTAAAAATCATGCAGATTCTGGTAAGCTGAAAAGTCTGTAATATCCAACAAGAAAGAATTTATTGTGTTATGTGGTTTTAACAGAAACTTTCTCTCAGAGAAAAGTTCCTGCTGCAAATAATAATTGAATAGATGAATCCCAGAATATAGAATATCAGAGTGCATTGGCTTCATTACTCCTGTAAGGTAAGGGAAAGTATATAAGGATACATATATGAAAGGACTGTAATGTCTGAGTGTTGTAGAAGATGCTGTGCCAGGATCTGACCTTGGAACAGTTCCGCAGTGGAAAAACTGTTCAGTTTATCGTATTTCCTTTGTTTTACACAGACACATAAAATAAACTTTGTCAAAGGAAAAGGTCTCGTAGAACTGATAATCCAGAATTTCTGTGATGACGATAAAGGGATGTACACAGCCCAGCTGCAAGATGGAAAAGCTAAAAATCAATTCACCCTACTTCTTGTGGATGAATGTAAGTGGAAATTCAGGATCAAATATAGACTGCCATGCTCAGTGGAAAGTTTTCTAGGCACTTAAGGCCCCAAAGTATTTCCGACAGTTATAATGGCAGACTGTGAATAGGGAGACAAATATTTATTTTAGCACACATTTACAGTCCAGGAATCATGTAAGAAATTATCTGAATTTCTCTTTAACATAAATTGAAGCTTTTGGTCTTATAAATAGGGTCCTTGATAAAAATGGTCTGCTAAAGCAAAATACCAGTGGAATGATTAGTTATTTTTTCAAATGTTTTACATATTAACTTGCTATGGCAAACTGTCTGTGTCTTGGGAGTAAACTGTATGACGTGTTATTACATGTACTCATTTATCTCAGGACAGGATCAGGTTGAAAATTCAGTGTATTTAGCAGCTGGTTAATTGCATTAAACTGAATGCAATAAAGAAACCAGTGTCAACTGTACTCAAGGACAAGTCCAAGCAATAAAGAAAGCTGAACATGAAACACACAGGGTCCCTGTATGTGCTAGTACAGAGAGCCTTTTATAATTAATTAAAAATAGAAAGTAACAAGATTCTCATTCAAATACTTCCCCATAGAGTGTCTATCTCTATTTTCAGTTCTTGCAAACAGTTTGCTTTCAAGTGACCTTCTAAAGCTTCCAAACTTTTTGAATGGAAAGTGTCTATAAAACATCAAGTCTACTTGACTCCCTTTACAACTGGTGGAGAGAAACAGGCAGTTTTACAGAGTTATTCAGCACATGCTATGTTCAGGATATAAAATAAGTTTGATGAATTGTGCTCTAGAAGTGCCCATTTTTCTTTACTGACAATGAAGGAAGTAGAGATAACTGAAGTTACATGCGGTTGTCTAAAACAGAGGTAAATTCTATGCTCTCTGCCGCCTTCTGTGTTTCTTACTTTTTAAACATTTTAATTTCAGATTAATGCAGAATGGTCAGGTCTTCAAAGACTCTTTTATTTTAATGAAAATAAATGTTAGGTTCTGAGCAACCAGTACAATGAAAGAATGATGGTACTCATCTGTTAAGGGTTCTCGGTGGGGACCAGAGGTAACTCATGCACTAGAGATGTCTTATAAACAAATATCACAGCTCTAGTGATAATACCTTTCGTGATCAGAAATTTCTAAAGTGTTACACTGAGAAACAGCAGGGGGTTTGTTGACTTTGACCATTGTTGTTCTCACAGGTTTTGCTAAAGTTGCAGAGGAGGCTGATGCAAAACGGAGAGAATGGAAGAAAAAGCAGGGTAAGATAAGCTGAAGGTTAATGACTTGCCAGAACTATGCCAACAGGATGGCAAAACCTGAGCAAAGCTATTTCACTGAGTGCTCTAAATAATTTCCTTTATCATCTTTTTAAGTGTATTATTTAAGCTGATTAATACACTAGGATAAAAGTCCTTATTTTAAGATACTCCGCCCTGCTCTTAAAGATCAAAGTAATTTATTTAAATAGTTTTAGCCATGCTAGCCACAATCCTCAGTATAGATCTTCTGCATCAGTGCTGTAACACTGAACATTTTTGAATTCTGAAAATTGTCCAGTCTGAATATATACCATGTAATTAAGATCCACTCACTTTCCTTGTAGCAAAGAGGATTCTCTAGATAAGTTTAAAAAGAACCATGCATTCCACTTTCACTTTATCCTCCATCTTATATTTATGAATAAGGAAGTTTATAAAACAGTTTCAGAGGAAAAATACTACAACTGGAAAGGTGATCCCCTTCTAGCAGTGATAAAAATATTCACTTAATAACAACTGTGATACCACACTAGACTATAGGTCCAGTCTCCTGTCTTCAGAGATGCTTCATATAAGATGAAAGTGTATATAAAGGAATCTGTCCCCCAGTTTACCCTCCCAGAATCAGGAAGAAAAACAGAAAGTACATGGCTTTTCTATTCTATTGCAATTCACCTGGGAAATACCTATCAACTCCTACACTGACTTGATGCAAAGCAGAGTCATAAAGGACTGGTTAGGCAGCATTATTAACTACATTTGGAGACAGGATTCCTCAACAAAGATACGCTACCTAAGGATATTACAAAACCAGCAATAATTATATGCTCGAAACTGTGGTGCTTATCGCATGCAAAACTCAGTGGCGTGAAGCGTTCCCTACAGACTGCACTGCTGGGATTCACCGCTAGATGGAGGCATTTCTGTAGATAACACGAGAGCTGTGGAAATGCACTGCAAAAGACATTTATTTTCTTTTATAGGTCCACATTTTATAGAGAATTTGAAATGGAAGGTTACTGAGAACTGTGAAGTACTCCTTACCTGCAAGGTACATACAGCTATGTGATGCAACTGCACAGTCTGAATTCCTTTAGCATTAAATTTTAGATGTGAATTTTAAGGGAAGGGTATGAACAGTGCTCATCCAAATGCTTATTTGCAGACCAATGAAAGTTAAGAGATGGTATATCTTGGACAGAAATTTTAATAAAGAAGGAAGTTTCTAAGATTCTGCAGCAATGTTCTAATGCAAGTGATGTTTCATATTAGAAGGACATCAAAGCATTCAGAAATAAAATGCATTTGGGACCCTGACTTCTAAATGTTGTGTCCAAACAGGCAACAAACCTGAGAAAGGACACCAGCTTCCAATGGTTCTTCAATAAGAAAGCACGAGCAGGTGGTGTGTTTGATCCACAGACTGGGATAGGAACTCTTCGTATTAGAAAGGTGAAAAACATAAAGCAACTCAGAGGCTTTGGTGATCACATGAAAATGCAAAAAATATGGATTGATCTTACTAACATTCAATGTGTGTTTTGGGTAACGCCCACTAAATGAAAGAAATTGAACAAATGCTGAGAAAAGCACAAAAGAAGAAACAATTTAACATTATAGTCAGATAGATCTGAATTAGAAATAAGATGTTTGAGTGAGTGTCTGTTAAAAGTTTAACATGTCCTGAGTGGCTAAAAAGAAAAGTGTGGGCTTTTCAGGTTTTCTGATCAGGACTGGTTGCCTAGTCTGGAGATGAACTTTAGTAACAAAAAAAAAAAGTTACTGAGCTCATTACAGAAGTAACTGAATGAAATTTTATGGCTTGACCTATAGAGAAGGCCAGACAAGCTGATATAATGCTCCTTGTAATCTTAATTCTGCTTCAGAGAAGATACAGCTGGAGAAAGGGAGCCTGATGGTGCATTTAGAGTTTTAGTGCAATCTCTGCGTGGCTAATTTGAATCTTGTTTGGGTTTGATTTTTCATCTTAACTTCAAACAGCCCAATCAGCTATAGAAAACAAGTAGATAAATGTATGTGAACAGGAATCTCTGCTCACACAAGTCTGAGGACCAGCAGGAACACTGCAGGCTGGAAGTCAAGAGCATTGGCAAAGCAACACGAGGAAAATTTATGGAGCAGTGGGCATTCATCATCACTGAGTCTCAGACGTACCTGTACCTTACACCACTAAAGGCACGCAGTGGTACAGGGTGACTGAGGGCAAAAGCTGAGATACTGACTCCCCATAACTGACAACATCGGTTGATAATCATAACTGATTATCATAATTAACTGATATGATATCAGTTCATAATCAACCAGGGCCCGCTCTAACCTTTCAAAGGAGACTCTGGGGTGAATTGCCTTTTTTGCCCTCCTTTCTGATCCATCCAGCCAAATTCATTGGGAGGGAAGAAGAAAATCTCAGCTTTTCCCCCTTTTCCAAATCCTGCCCTATTTCAATGAAATGTGAAATTTCTGTTGGGGGTGTGTGTGCGTGTGTTTGGTTTTGGGGTTTTTTTAATAAATATTATATAGGTACCTACATATTTGCTAGATGACCAAAGCAGATGAGGGCCAATACAAAGCACTTGTTTCAGACGACCGAGGAGAGGACTACACCCAACTTGATCTCACAAAAGGAGGTAAGAGAACCTTGTATAAGGCAGTAATACACATTCACACCCCTGCCTGGGATTAATTTTGGATTTAAAAACAAATTTCATAACTTTCTACTGCATTGTTCATTACCATAGTACCTACATGCTTTTATAGGGATTAAAACCTGAATAAAAAGTTACTGGTCAAGTTTAAAGAGTTTCATGATCTACTATAGCATATATATATATATATGCTGATCATTTTAAAAATCACAAATATTTCATGTGAGGTTGGAGTCATAAAATGCACTATGTAAAACAGTCTCTTATTCTGCAAGAGTTATACAGAGCCCAATGAACAGAATAAGTCTCCTCTGTATCTGCACAGCTTTTTTTTTGCATCTGTCCATACTGTACTTCATTTGATAATCCACAGAAAACTTTTCACTCCTGGAAGTTCAGCCAGTCCTCCAAAGCATCAGGAGAACAAATTTCCATTTCCACTCTGCATCCCCCACCAGTGAAAAAAATTCTAGGCTGAATTACAACGACAGAATAGTTGTTAAAGACAACATCAAGTGGAAAAACAATTACATGTTACTGCAGATTCCTGCTTCACTTTTCAGTGTTCTGAATACGCTCTGAAAATTGAAAAATAAATATGCAGTTCTGACATTCTAATGTCATTTACATATATAGTCATTTATCAAGCTATGACCGCATTATAAATTCTGTCAAGCACCACAGTTAAAAGCTCAGCAATGTTTCAGTCACTTCAACTCAGCATCAATCAGAAGATTCTGCTTCCCAAGATTAAATCCTACCCTGACATCTGGAATCTATCATTTAAACCTGATACATAAATCTGCTTTCTGCGTGGCAGACTGTTGCACACGTTGAGTGCTAAGGAAGATAGAAGCATCTAAATATAGTAAGAACACCATCTGAAAATAAATGAGTCAGTGGCAAAAATTCCATTCTGAGTAAGCTTTGCAACAGAAAAAAACAAGTAACTACTAGATATAATACATTCTAAACATAATTAAATTAAGTTGGTAGATCAGATGTCATTTGCTAAATATTGTATTTATAGACACTTAAATCTTTATGTCTTTGCAGCCTTTGAAGACCTTCTCAAGGAGCTGTGTAGGATCAGTGGTATGTCATTTTCTCATCAGCTGACACAGTAATAATGGAAGGGGAGAAAGGTGGGGTGCTATAATCAGAGCAAACTGCTCAGGAGCTGTTCCTGGGTTTGGCTCAACTACAATACCACCCATTTACTATTCCTTTAGTGTTAGAAGCACCTTCAAACTGTCAAGGAGGATGGTCAGTAAATAAACCCAGGGACATAAAACCCTCTGCACTCACAAATTAATTCTGTGACCTTTACGTGCCGGCAGCCTGCTCCTTGTCACAACGCTTGCTATGTGAATTTGGCCAACTTGTACTATTTCTATCTGAGAGATGTGCACTCCAGACCCAAGTCTCTAGAAGAGATGCTGACATTTTTCTACCAGCTGCTAAAAGATCCAGGGTCTTCAAGAGGTAGAATACCATCCTACTTTCAGCTAGCCACATTCTCCAGAGAGAAATGTTAATAGGTTGCTTGGGATTTTGTTTGCGTAACATGTAAAATTGTGCATTCTTGAATGTCCTCCTCAATTTCAGTCTTTCAATTATACTATTAGCTCTTTCTGCTACACCTCTGAAAATTCAGCCTACTGAAGAAGGCATCAAAATCTACACAGATGTGAAGTACTACACAGACTACATGAAAACAACTTGGTATCACAAGTAAGTCCCCAAAAGATATTTGCAAGGCTTCTGGAGTCCTGTTGCATGTAACTGTTTATCATCAAAATTAAACATGTTGGGCCTGAGCCCATAGCTTTTTAAGGCAATGGTAGATTTGTCTGAGTAAGGGCTGAAAAACACAATTCACTCTGCATCCTGAAACATGTCTGGGAATTCCAAAATAAGCAGTCATGTTATTTTTATCTTAGCACTGCAGAAATATTTATAAGTGATCATCTTTACTAGAATAATAATGATGCATTTAAGGTACTGCTCAGTTACAGCCACCTTGGTTACATACAGGAAAAGGAGTTGTTTTTTTCAAATTCTTTATTTCTACTACTTTGTACTTCCCTAAACAACTCTATTCCCCCACTCTGAATAACAAATATTCCCAAACGTTATAAAATTCTGTCCAAACACTAGCTAATTTAGCCTCATAATGTCTTCATGAAATGGAGAAATGGTGGTTTATTAGATACTGCCTACACACGTATATAAGGAGGCCAATTTTTAAAAATGTTTAAGGGCTCAACACTTACAAATATTCAACATCTAAATCCTATTTAATCTCCTAAATAAGAACTGAAAGGTCTTTTATAGAGTTTGTAGAGGTTTGGCAAACTGCCTAAAGGCACAGCTAGAGGCCCCATGAGATTTTCAAAAGTGACTGAGTACGTAGCTCTCCATGAAATTAACAGTGAGGTCCTGACTCCCACTCTCTTATTCTAACCAGTATAGGTCTAAAAAAAGTTAGCGCTCTAATTTATAGAGCTCTGCTAAATACTATTGAAATGGTATCATTTGTTTATTTAGGGAGAAACAACTGGAAAGCCGTGACAGACTGAAAGCTGGGAGCACAATGAATCAGATCTGGCTTCACATACTGAACCCAACAGATGCAGATAAGGGAAAATACACCCTGGAGTTATTTGATGGGAAAAACTCTCGCAAACTGTCAACTGACTTGTCTGGACAAGGTAAGCTGAGTCAAACACCACCGTCATAGGAATGAGATATACCTGAGCTGCTTTCCAAGATTCCTTCAAATCACAGGCAGTGATTCCTCCCTCCTTTATTTGAGCTGGAGCCGCAGTTCCATGACAGCACGCTATGAAATTGGGTTAAGAAGGACAGTGAACTGCCCATAGAAGTCAGAGGAAACACGGGGAGAGGAGCAGTGCGCAGCAGAAAGGACTGAAGCCCTTAGGGAGCCTTGCTGCCATAGCATAAGGCACTCCTGGGGAAAGGATGAGTGGGAGGGCAGCTGCTCCTGGGATGTGTCCGATTCCTCCATAGGCCAACAGAGCTTACAGGTGGTATCTTGGAAAAGAGAATGTGTCTTCAGGTTTACAAAGATTTTTCCAAACTGTTCAAAGTGGGGTTTTTTTTTCCTCCTCTGGACTTCTCTTTGGAAGGAAAATACTAGGCCCCACTTAACTTCAGTAGTATATAAATGGATTCGTATCTCCTTAAGGCAGCTATAGATACTGTCTAGATGATAATTATACATATCTATGTGCACAAATACCTGTAATTCCAGCACTGATGCACTATGTTAAATCTACTAAGTCAAATGAAATAATCAGCAACTTTCCCTAAAACCTTTTCATTCCTTGCAGCCTTTGAAGATGCCTTGGCTGAGCACAGAAGGCTAAAGTAAGTTCCTGCCTAAATACTTTCACAGCTAAATCTATTTTGAGTGTCATATCCTGTATTGAGAATACAATGCCTAATAAATAAAACCACTATAATTTTATCTCTCTCACTTTCAGGGAAGCAGCAGTAGCAGAAAAGTGTAAGTAAATTAATTTCCTTCCCTCTGCGAAACAAAGTCAAGTGGTACGCCGATATGTAAAACTAAAAGGTCATATTTATTCATTCCCAGGTCGTGCCAGAGTTGTTCAAGGTCTGCCAGATGTTGCCACCATCATGGAGGACAAGGTAATATTGAGTAACTGTTCATATAATTGGCCCTTGCACAGACATAGAAGCATAACTGATGGGGAGAAAACTACTTGTTTTCCCTTCCTGTACGTTCCCAGGAGCTTTTCTGAGCTACTGCAATCGCCAAAGGTGTGAAGCGGTACCCTCCGCAATACTTGTATCAGCCCCCTATATTGTTGATGGTGCTTCCAAACATGCACATGCTTCTGCTCTTCGTGGCACAGAACGTCGTTCTTGCAGGTTTCAGATGTTACTGCTTCCTAGGTCTGTTTCACAGCCAGATCCTTTCTGTTGTCTTCCCATTTCATAGGATTAGACTAAGGCTTTTAAGTGCTGGACCTGATTTTTCTATCATATCAACTTGCTGCTTATATTTCTGAGTCACATTCCCCTTTACTGGTACACAGGCAGAATAAAAGTCCTGCAAAGTAATTGCAAATTCACCATGTACCTATTTAAGTGTCACTTTACAGTGTAAGAAAGCTATAAAAAGACAGTAGCACAAATATGAGTCAGGCCCAGTGAATTCAGTCAGGTTAATCCTGATTATACTGGAGGATATCAGGAAAAGGAGTGGACAGGCCTAGAATCTCACCTACTGAAAAATCTAAGAGAATTTATTTTTTTCTTAATTTCTCATCAACTTAATTTCCTTGCTCATTTATATCTTCATAATCTATTTCTGCTATCTGTTTTACAATAGACCCTGTGTTTAACTTGCTGTGTATCTGGAGATCCTTACCCAGAAATCACTTGGTTCAAAAATGAGAAGGTTATCGTCTTTAAAGATCGTTACAAAATGGATGTGAAGGGGACAGTTGTCACAATTACCATAGAGAAAGTCTGCAATGAAGACACAGGAAAATACAGCATCTATGTCAAGAATAAGTATGGTTCTGAAACAGGGCAGGTTACTATCAGTGTCTATAAGCATGGAGAGATACCAACAGGAATGGAAGAAGAGTAAGTCCTGGGTGGGATTATAATGAAAAAGCCTAAATGAATTAGTCAATTATGTCTCATTGAATTTAAAAGGAATTTAACTCCTTCAGATTCCTTTTAGTGTCTCTGCCCTAAAATTCAGGCTCATGCCTCTATTTTTATTTTAGCAATATTTTAGTATTTTTATTTTGGTAGTTGCTAGAAAACAATTCTCATGTGTGCACACATGCATGTTCACCTTACAGAGAAACTCTTTCCTAGTAAATCTGTGTGGGAAATACCAGAGGATTCACATATGAGAACCAGGCTTTCAGTGGAGTTTTTCTGTAGTAAATCACTATGTGTTACTGATTATCTTGTAGCTGACATATGCTTGTGTGTGTGTATTATTAAATTTATACCTTTGGTGACACCTCAGCACTGTTATCAAGTACATCCATCTTGAAATCAGTCGGCCTGCGTGGGGGAAGTTAGGAATTTTCCTAAGTACCGTGCTGAATCAGGGCCTTGAAGCACGGACCTTTACAAACCTAAGCCATATGGGAAGAAAACAAGGCAGTGACATTTTCAAGGCTTGGTTCTTTACAGAGGAACACATTCAGCTTCTATATATACTGACATGCAGTAATACATTTACACAAAAGGACTGAGTGAACATCTAGAGGTGGACCCAGATCCTTCCATACTACTGAACACCTATATTCTTTAGAGTTAAAGAGATTTTTAGGTTTATTACTTACATTAGATTATTCTGGATGTAGAAAAAGTGTGGCCTCTCAAATGCTCTGAAGCCACAGCTACAGTCCCATCTTCTACCAGTAAAACCGTGTCAGTGAGAGATAAAAAAGTGATTGTATTCCGAATACAGCCATCCAGCTAAATGCATTTATTCAGCAAAATAGCATGTTACCTTGCTCCACAAACTAGTATAAACTGTCCTCACAATAGCAGTATTTTTCCCGGTTATTTGAGGGACACTGCTGTTCCAGTGTCAACATAAATGGGCGCAGCAATCCTGTACAGGATTGCCAATCATTTGACCAAAAGCAGTTACATTTCAGACATTACTTAAAATTAAATGTATATAATTTATATTATTAAATTTAATAATACTAAAAAGTGAGAGCTTAGCTAATTACCTAGATTCATCTTACAGTGAATGAAGAAAAGCAGGCCCTTCTGATGGCATCATTAACATTACTCTATGGTAAAACAGATGAATCGTCCTAGAATAACTCCAATATAAACGTGTACCTTTTAGAGCCATGTGTGTTACACCCCACACATAAATACGGCCTCACTCATTATCAGTACCTCATCCTTGCTACTCAGGTATTATCATATGTAAATGTGATTACAAAATTGGCTCTTTGTGTGTGAATTTTCTTTAAAATTACATACTGAAAAAAAGTTGTGAATTTGTAAGAAAAAGCTCAGCATTGGTTTTCTATTTAAATAGAAGAATTACTGACTGATATGGGGTAATAAAAGTTAACTTAGAAAGGTCACCTACCCCTGGGATACAGGCTCTATTTGAATTAAGCAATATAATTGCAAGACACAATCTAATGAATGTCTTCCAAAATCAACAGTCATGCCTGCACAGACAGCAAGGAGTATCACTCAATAACTATAATGAGTGAGGAATTCTTGGTGCAATTGGTGAGAAGAAAAATAATACATCTCATTTACTGCTTTCATTTCAGTCTCCAAGCGATGTTCCATGTTTTATTTTACCTTTAATCGTCTATGTATGCAGTGATTATTTAAAAAAAAAAAAAAAAAAAAAAAA